GTGGCCGTCGGCACGACAGAGAGGGAAGTTCCGACAATCCCTCACTCCGCGCGATCCACAAACTTACTCAGCACTGTATGACAACGGGAGGCTTTTCTATGGGAATCTATTTTATTACGAGTTTTTTTTACATTTTTTTCCACGAGATACACACTTCTCCCTTCGGTGATAACGGTTATCAGCGCCCTACATTTGACATTTCAGTGACAAACTCGTGGGTGGACAATTGCGTGAAATTTGAGCGGATTTGGGAAGTTCCGCGCTAATTATGAAAAAATATTCAGAAATTTGCATAAGTTGGACGTTTACGTCAAGGTTTTAAAATACGGGATGGGTTCGAGGATGCATAAACTCTTTTTATTGGCTTTAATTCAAGAAGCTTTAGAAGGGGGGGCAAGGGGACACATTAGTAGATTTCAAACAAAATTCGTGCTAAAAACGAAACGAAATATTGTGTATTTAAGATTGGCAGGAGTGGTGTTGAAAAGTACACAAAGATTTTATATTAAATTTTTTGATTATATTGATACTCCTAGACAAAGATGTAATTTTTTACCTTTAAATACCATTAAACTTTTGATCAAAGTGGTTTATGACTTTGGAATTAAATTGGCAACATTAGCTATCAAATTCAAATAACGTCACACTTTTATGGTCAATAGTAATTTTTTTCCAAGAAATGGCCACTGTCATTCATAGCCCTCACATGAACCAATTTAATATCACCAATAATTCAGTGTTGCCAACTCAATTTCAGTCATTGGTCATTTCGTTTCAAATGACGTTTTTCGCAATCTTATAGGAATTATAAGGATTTCGTAAAATACAATCTTTTAAATGGCCACTATGAATTGGCCGCGACTTTATAGTTTTCTTGACGTAAAATGTTGAATGTTATTTTTTACCCTATAATTATAATACCATTATTTCTGATTAAAGTGGCTTGTGAGTTAGAATTCGCAACATTAGCTATCAAATTTAAACGTCACACTTTTATTGTCAATTGTTATTCTTTTCCGCTGTCATAGCCGTCACTTGAACCAATTTAATATGTGATAAGTTTATGTTGCCAACTCAATTTCAGTCGCAGGTCACTTCGTTTCAAATTTTGAAAGAAATCAGGGAAACTAAAATTCTCACTCTTATAAGATTATGCAAAATGAAAAAGATCTTTTCACAATCTTTGATTTAAAAAAAAATCCTAAATACAGTTTTCTCGATGTAAAACGTTGAATCGAATTTTTTACCTTATAATTAATACCAAGTGGCTTGTGGCTTGGAATTAAGTTGGCAATATTAGCTGTAAAACTCAAACGTCACATTTAATAGTCAATTTTCATTCTTTTTTGAGGGGCGCCCATTTTCATAGTTGTTACATCACCAATAAATCAGTGTTGCCAACTTAATTTCAGGCATAGGTCACTTTGACTAAAATTATTATAGTCTAGGACTGCATTAAACTTTTTGTTTTAAATGTCAATCACCATTTTAACATTTGACTAGTAAACACCTTGTCTAATAAAAGCAAATAAAAATTGGATTAGAGGTTTCTTTCAGAATTCTTCAGAATTACTTATAGTACCTTTGTGTTACGTATTAGGAACAATGAATTTATCAAAAAAATTCTCACAAATTGGCAACACCGCAGTCAAATTTTAAAAACAAGAAATGGTTTTATTTGTGCCGCACTAATGAGTCACTGTGTATAAGTATGTATTTGTTTTCCCATCGGCCACGTCGCGCCCCATATGCTCAATCAAGCCCCCAAGAAAGCATTCATCAACTCCCCTTCATTCTCCCACCCACTTTTTTGTCTTTTTCGGTCAAAAAAACCCAACTATTAATTTTTTAAATGTTCGGTTGGAAAAAAAACGATATTGCTTAGACGACTGAAAATCCTTCTTCGTCCTTAATTATCCATAAAATGCCAACAATCTTTCCACCTGTGGGTCGGTGGACTCGGCAATCTCATTCCTGCGTTGGGAAACGCGGCGTGACGGCCATCAAAACATCCAACTTTGAATGCGCTACCTGTTGCACATGGAACAAGTGACGGTCGGACAATGAGGGTCGTTTTTTCCCATCAGACAAAAGAACAGCGTGCATATGTCAAGGGGGGCGGCTTGATTATCACCATTTATTGCCCCCATTTGTGATATGCGGGGAAACGATTTTAATCAATAAGTTCATGTGGGCGGGGGTGGACCGGGGGCGAATATTTTACTGTAATTAATGTAATGTGTTTTGAATGGCCGGATATGGAATGTGGACGAAACCGATACAAGGGGTGGAAAGCGAGGTTAACGATAAATAAAGGGAAATTTAATATGAGGAGAGAGTGGGCGGGATTTTCCACCCATAGCGGAATTTTCAAAAAAAGTGGAAGTTTTATAAAAAAAAAAACAAATAGATACGGTCAAGCTACGACATACAGGTTTACAAAAATTTCTCTTCTGTAATCCTTCCTTATGTCTTTTTATTATGTTTTATTATGTAAATGATAAGTGAGTTGAAATCAGTTTCGCTGCAAAAAAAAAACTACAGCAAATACTCTTACCCCTGATAAGAAGATTTGCTGATAAATTGATAAGTGTAATGCTAGAGGATTTTGGGTTGAAATGTTGGTTTTTGCTAGGATAATTGACCTCTATTTTCCCATGATGGTACAATGGTAACCAAATTATCGGTCAATTAGCAAACTTATCGCTCCCATACTTTCCTTATAAGTAAAAATCTAATCAGCAAATGTGTAGAAAGTATACCCAGTGATTCACACTGTAATACGAAATCCTGAATATTTTTTCCCTGATACCACTTTATTTATCAGAGAAGTCTGTTATCTGTTGACACCGAGAAGTGGCTTCTGTTGGGGAATGAAGAAAGCCTTGTTTTGTGGCGAAGGATGGCAAAAATCAACAGGATTCCTGTTGGAAAAGCCACCTGTTGCTCGTTCCCGCCACCCCCCGTTATCGACCATACGGGCGCATTCTTCTAAAAAGTGTTACTCCGAGTCGAAAAGCCGTCCTCTTTTCGAGGGGGGTCAACCACCCCACGACTTGCACGTGTATCCCCGTTTCGTGCAGCGGCCCCCTTGCGTAGTGCCCCCTTGCGGGAGCCACACGCCCAGCAGAACGTCGTTGGGCCGCTGCACGAGCCCTCAATGTAAGAGCTCGCCTCCAGCGGCCCAGCGGCGTATTCGAGAGTAAGGAGCGAGGCGGAGGCGAGTATTGCGATGGTCGTTTGGCCATCCACAATTCCCAAGGTCAGCGCAGCCGCGTGGTGGTGGTATTCTGAGCCGGAGCTGCGCGGGGCTCGAGTTCAATTTAGTTAGTCGAAGGGGGCGCACATTGCACCCTCGCGTCTGGCATGGTGGTGTCTCAGTGCGAGTGAAGTCAAGGACACGCTATTGCGTAAGTAGGAGCCCCTTTAAACGGCTACGAGTTTGAATTTTTCGCGCTTTTGCGAACCCCGAACTACCCCGAACCACCCCGAGTGCCGCCGAACGACGGACATTTGCTGACATGGCGTCTTGAGTGTTGTGGTGTTTCGTTATCCCGGGGATCAACCCTTGATTTTGTGGTGACGCACGACAAGGTAATCTCGACCCTCCGAGGGGCGACGCCCGAGAAATGTGCGAGGGGGCGCACGCCCCAGTTCCCATTCCCGGCGTCGCAGTAGGCGGGGTGCAGCGAAACGTCAAACGTCAAATATGGCGGAGGGCTGTGCCATTCTGGGGGGTTGGCGACACGTGGAATTTTACACTTTTCGACGATTTTACAGGGGACTGTGTGATGTAATAGCTGTTTGAGACCGATGCAAACACCTGTGTGAATGCGACGCGGGCCGGATTCTTCGGCGCCCCTCTCGAATTGGACCCCCGATGGCCCAGCCCAAAATAAGCGACCTTCGAAGCCGCAAAAAAATTCATCGAAATTCGAACCGGGGAAAATTCGCGAACGTGATTATTGATTTTTCGGAGAGACGCGGGGGAAAATTCTGCGATTTTGACAGGTCACGTGCGAGGAATTTTGCGTGGCGGTTTCGCGCTGTAATATTTGACCTTCAAGGGGCGTACTAAAATTGTTTATGTTAATGTGTCGTGGCGTTATGTGAAGCGCACTCAAACTCTTCAAAATTTTATCACTTTTTTTCCACACAACCGGAAAACGCGCATCTTAGGTTGGTACCCGCGCCAGTGGGGGAAGTTGGTCACAGTTTATTGTTTGTCACCCTAGCAACAACAAAATGATCACCGCAAAAACGCAATTTATTTTAAATAGCTATTTTTCATAATTGGGAAGTTTTTTAATGTTTAAAATACCAACAAAACGTGTTTTTGTTATTATTAATTGCTACTATAGGGGTAAAGTTGGCACAATTTATTGTTGTAACCATGGTAACTGTCACAAATTTGACACTTGCGTCATGAAATGTCAATTTAATTACAAAATTTCGGTAGTTGGAAAAATTCAATTGACATTTAAGTTGATTTTTTTCTGGTCAACCCGTCATCGTTAATTAAAGTTTGTAATAATAAATTCTAGACATGAATTCTTTGACTAGTTGGTTGTTTACACTTGATGGTGAATTAAATTCTGAAAGGACGAAAGAAACTTTTTTATTTATGTTAATTGACTAAAAACTATCAATATGCTGAGAAAAAGGATGAGCTAATGATAATTGGATATCCCCTCGAGCCAATTAGTGATATTGTGGTAGTCCCTTGCTTTATTTCGGAAGTATCGAATCAATTAAAATTTGAGTGTATAAAACGTTCCATCTGTGTCTTACATAATCCGCCGGCAAACAATATACATAAAAATAAACTCGTTCTGCTGCTTTGTATAATGGTTTCGGCTCAGATTTATAATACTGGAATGGTGGATTTTTAATAAAACCGTCGTTAAGGTCACCACCGGTGACTAGGTTTGCCCCTTTGCGACCTTTGCGGAAATACCACTAATTTTTCGCATCTTTCTAATAACGAAAATTGTTTTCAGTGTTAACACCATATCAAGTCTGAAGTGTCAATCCACAAGTATGTCTTCCCAACGTTTCTGTCTGCGATGGAACAACCATCAGTCGAATTTGTTGTCAGTATTCGACCAACTCCTACACGACGAGAGTTTCGTCGATGTCACGTTGGCCGTGGAAGGACAATTGTTGCGTGCCCACAAGATGGTCCTTTCGGCGTGCAGTCCCTACTTCCAGGCGCTGTTCGTCAACCATCCCGATAAACACCCCATCGTCATCCTTAAGGACGTCCCCTACAGCGACATGCGCTCCCTGTTGGACTTCATGTACAGAGGGGAGGTCAGCGTCGACCAGGACAGACTCACAGCCTTCCTGCGGGTCGCTGAAAGTCTTCGGATAAAGGTAAAAACTGAGGGTTTAATCGGACGATTGTGAAATGTTTATTTATTTCTACCCACTTGACGGTTTTCACACAATTATGGAAGTGGCGGTTGCGTGAGTCACCCCAAATGAATCATCTCAAGAAAAAACACAATTAGGCGAAATAATGATCGACTTTGAAATATTACATCTTTTGGCTTGCGACCAAATCTAAATTTGTGCAAAAATGCAAAAAGTTTAATAGTTTCATGGGAAGCAGGAAGACTTGACTTGTGCCAACCACGCCATTTGTGCTTGAACAATGTAAACATTAATAACGTTTCCTCAATTTTAAATTTTAATCCTCATTGTTGGTAACGCCTGGAAAACTATCTAGGGAGGAAAGTAAACATTTTCCGCATGCAAAAGCACACTTCACGCTTGGGTGGCCCAAGTTTTGGATTTTTTCCACTTTGAGATGAATAATTAAAAATTAAGGTACAAAATTCCAATATTTGAATTTGTATTTCAACGAAAAACATTTCTTAGAGGAGATTACAAAAATTATAAATAGAAGCTTTTTAGTTTTATTGTAAAAATTGACATCACATTTTGATAAACGATCACTGACCTTGACATAAAACATTCAAGTAAAGCATTATTTTTTCATGGTCAAAGTTTGAGTAGTTATAAATCTGGGAAGAGGTTAATTTGCTAATTTTAAAGGAATGTAAAATGTTTTTGTTTTTTCTACATATATTTTGTTTGTAACTCCTTATCAAAAAAATTCGAAAAAACATGAATATAGATAAGCGCTATTTTTATCAATGAACAGGATTTAAATCGGGTGGCTTTGCTGTCATTCGAATTAACCAAAAAAACTAATTTGAATTAATTAGTGTTTCCCCGAATGGAGAAAATGAATTATTTGGGGCGCTTTTTGTATTACGTGACTCCATTTATTAAGTCATAAAATATCATGTTTTGAGTACTAAAAATAAACAAGTTGATAACTGATGATTCTTTAAAATCCCGTTAAAAATCGAATTTTTCGAGGAAAGCGTTGTGTTAAGGGCCTTATTTTGTGTTAAAGGGCCTGACCGAGGTGAACGAAGAGAAATGTGATACAATAACGTCGTCTTTGACGCAACAAAACCAAATGAACGCCAACATGCCACATCTGCAAAGACTGCAACAGAACAAAAGGTTCGGCAACCCGCTCAACATGCTCGGCAACGCTCTTCTCCAGCCGAAGAGGAAGCGCGGACGGCCTCGGAAACTCTCGGGTAGTTCGAACGGCACCCCAGGCGAAGACTTCGACAGAGGCGATGCCCTGGTTCAGGGCAGCCCCGAAATGCTCGAAGTCAAAATGGGAATGGACGGATTCACGGGAAACAACTCCGACTGCAGCACGGGCAAGTCGGACGCGAAGGAAAACGATCTGGACGATAATACCAAAGTTAAGGAAGAGAACGAACCGGTCGCCGGCACCTCCAAGGAACAGACGTTTAACGATACGAAAAACGCCGACGACTTTCAGTCTTCCGGTAAGTGTTAAAACACCGGTTTTTAAATTCGCAATTACGAGAATCGGTTGGTATGACTGAGTTTTGACAAACAAGTGAAATGTGGAAACAGTATCAAAACAAAAGTGTATTCAATAAAGCGATCATTCAAACATAGTGCGAGTTGTTTTTTCTATTATTTTGATACAAAACACTATTTTAGAAGACATTACGGAAAAGCCAAAGTAACACATTTGTTGGCGTTAACGATTTTTAGACAATTTGCTAGACGTATCCATGGTAACCGTTATAAATACACATAGGTACGTTACAGAAAACTGTAGTATGAAGATTATTTTTATTTAAATTAATAAAATCGAAATTAAAGTAAGGCATATTTGCCCCAAACGATCACATTCGCCATGAATATGATTTTTATTTTTTTTTCAAATATTTTTTCACTGGAGACGAAAATTAATATACTAATATCATTTTGCTAAGACCTACTAAAAATTTTATTATTTTTAAGTTAAATGCGGTATTGTTAAGAGTAAACCGGAGGGTAAACAAATAATAAATTAGTGGAACCCACCCTGACCCTGAAACAGGTCAGTTTTTAACAGGGCCGGATTATTTCCTTTCTTTTTGTCTAAAATACTTGAAATATTTTAATAGTTTTTGATGTAGTCAAGTATTTTAAGAAATTTAAAAAAGCCAGGTGGTTATTAACAAGTTATTATTAAATAAAGCAGATTTTTTTTAATAATAGCTTGGTAAAACTCTACCACTACTTTGGTTTTAAATACGGCCCTGTTTTATTCTGGTGGGTGCAGCAACACTTGCAAAGGAACGTGCCATATATGGAGGGTTACAAATTCAAGCCATTGTTTGGTTAATCTCTTATAATGTGTCATAAAATTTTTAGTAGGTCTTAGGAAAATGATTTTTCTATATGCAATTAATACAAGTGAAGTATTTTTTTTTCGGAAATAGAGTGATTCAGTTGCAAAATGGTATTTACTTAACATAAAGGCAAAAAAAACGTTTTTGTTTAGGTCGGTAATGCAATTTTCTTTTTTCCGATATTTTAGCAGTTTGTGAGAACTATGGCAACTAACAAAAACAAACATTTCGTAAACTTGGATTTACAAAATTACTACTACTAAGGCCCTTCCAGAACACTTTGTTTTTTAAGCATTTTGGCCTTGTTTTTAAAACTATATGGGCCTGCTGTTCAGCACACACCATTTTTTTTTTAAATCTATCCCGTTTTTCAAGGTACAATGGCAAGCATAAAATTTTGGTCAAAAAAGTGGTTTTCCTGTGTAATTTTGACAAGAGGGTGGTATATTAGGGAATATTAGGGAATGAGACATTGACAACTTCAGCCCCTTCAGAACATAATACAAAGTGATCCACAATGACTGAATATGTTGGCAATCCTGACCCTAATTTTTAAAGCTTACCATTAGAGTACGCTTTTGATTAAGAACAATTCAACAATCTTGTGGGGATGTATGTCAAGTATTTGTTAAGCAAAACCGTATCCGGTTGCAGTGTTTCAAATTATTAACAAAAATACTTTCAAATCTGATACCTACAGACTTAGCCTTTCTGGATCACTTCGTACTTTTTATGGGGGGGGGCTGTTCTTTTTATAAGGTTTATTAAAAAATGAAATATTTCAAGAGGAAAAGAATTTATTAAATTATTTCACTCTTGACATAAACATAATTAATGTCCACCTCCATTCAGCGTGTCATCGGAACCACTTGAAGTCGCCCAAGATTAAAAAACAAAATGAAAAGTGTTAAACCATTCTTACTCGGGATCCAAATGCCTCAAAGCTTGTTTGAAGCGTTCACATTCCTCAAACGTGTGAAATTCGATGTTAATATCTAAAATGTCGTTGAAACGTATTGTTATAGTCATCTCAACCATTTGCTGTCTCAGAAGTTTAAAATTGTTGATGGGAGGATCAAATAGATTGTAGGGTAAGTTTTCGGAAATTGGCTTTCACTGTTTTTTCGACCTTTTCCCGGTCAACAAACACTTTTGCCTTTATTTCGAATCCCATTCTTAACTTCTCGTATAGAAGACCCGACTGAAATAACCTCAGTTCTTCTATGCTTGAATTTTTTACCCCATTTTTTGCTCCATTGTTTTTTCTGCAAATGAAAAGCAAATATAAAAAAGATTTTATTTAAAATGAGGCTGATAAATAATAGTCTCGATTAATTTAGTGTAATATTTCATATAGTGGTATTACTTACCTCAAATTGATAAAAAAGCACAAAAACGAAATTAATAGAATAATATCAATCAACCTGGAACGCAATGATTTGAACTTCACTAGGTACTCAGTAACTGACTTTTCGTTTAATATTAATTTAAAATACAAACAGTACAAATACGAACAGTTCTGGTAGTACGAGTATATGAACGCGTCTTTGTGAAACAAAGGAAAATGAGTAAGAAAATTATAAAAGTGTTTGTAATAGATAACAAGTGTTGACTTAAAGAAAATGAAATGATTTATTTCTTAATCTATCTTAAATGTCTATACTTCTTTGAAAAAACAAAATAAAATGAAATAGAAATGTATGTTAATGTATTATTAATGTGTTTGTTGATAGCAAATGCTTATCTCTAAAAGCCAAAAATCGGTTTGTGTTGTGCCGTTGTGCTTCCAGCTGTCAGTTGTGTTAAATACCTTATTAATCATTCTGATTTGCTTTCATCATCAATTATGTGAATGTTATGAGTTAATAATTCTTGAAATATTTGATTTTTTTTAATAAACCTTATAAAAAGCACCCCCATAAAAAAGTGTTGAGTTCTGAAAGGGCCCAATAGAAAAACTGAGCAAAAAGGCGATAGATTTGATGAAAAAAATGGTGTGTGCTGAACAGGCCCATAGTGTTTTGCTTTTTTAAACCTTTGAAAACAAGGTCAAAATGCTTCCAAAACAAAGTCTTCTGAAGGGGCCTTACTAGTAGTAAAATTATACTTTTGAATAAAAATTAAATTTTGTTTGATTTATTTCAATTTTTGCAATTTAGAGGTAACCATCACAAAAGCTACTAAAACAATTGTTACATAACCTCAAATTTAAAACCGGTAAATCAACGTATTTTGAGTGTTACTTACGTGTCGATAAATTAACGCAAATTCTCGCCTAATTTAGCTGATGGTACCTGAAAATTTGATTTAAAACACGTTTTGCACACTTTTTAATCTTGGAAAAAAAGTTTTTATTTTTTTGTTCTACCAACTGCTGAAAAAAAAATGAGGGACGTTGGTAATGCAGGAAATTGTTGCAAAAAATTACACCCAAATAATATTTTTTTTAAATACGCCGACGTTTATTGTTATTGCCAGGTATTTTTTCATAGATTTGTCTTTGCACACGTTTAATCTAATAGAAAAAAGCTTTTTTTTGTTCTCCCAACTCTTGAAAGAAAATGATGTCGGTAATACAGGAAATTGTTGCAAAAAATTAAACAAATTATAATTTTTCAAAAACGCCGACGTTTATTATTATTAGATGTTTCATAGGCTTGTGTTTTGTAATTGTCGCTGTAACTAATTACAAACAGGGCTGTAACAGCTTCATTATGTTAGAAATTCAATGAAATTAACTTATCTAACGCCAAGGCTGAGACTTGGGGTTATTGGCCTCTATTTTATTAATTATTTACAAATGCAAATGGCACACTAAAAACTTTCAGTAATAAACATTAATGACACAAGCGTGAATTACAGTTTTATAAAATTGGTCGCTGTCAAATGACGTCGACTTCCGGTGAATCCCCGTATTTTCACCATTCCAGTTTTGTGTTAATTGGTAGTAAAATGAGCGTTTTGTGTATTTTCCGCGTTTTTAAGTGAGACAGTAAACTTGTTAAGTGTGAAGGGAAAAGCTATAGTGCTATAAGTGAATTGTGCATCAATGGAGGTGAGTTTAATGATTTATAACTGATAAGGGAAGAGTTTAAGGAATGAGCCAGTTTACCGCCACATTTGTAACACCACACAGAAATTCATGACGCGGCTTATTTCCTATAGCTTTTCCCTTGAAGGTTTCTTGATTTCGGTCTAACAATGCGACTGTTTGCAGGCGAAAAAGACAATTCCTCCCCCAACAACATCCACTGTATAGACTTCAACTCGTCGCTGCACGAAGAGTACAATTTGCCATATCAGGACACCTCCACCTCCGACATAGAGCTAGAAGACAACGACTTGGACTCGAACTACGAGACGCTCGACATCAAACTCGACCCGAAGATGGTCCTTGACGGTTTTTCTGACAACCCGAAGCGAAAGCGCAAGAGTTTGAGTCTCATGGACGTGGAGGACTTCGCCAGCTACGATATCGTTCTCGACGACCCCTCATACGACTTCAAGACACTCAAATACGTTAACTACTCGAAGAAAATAAGCGATCCGGACAAATCAGCGAGGGATTTCTGCGTCAGAGAGAAGGATAATCTGTACAGATGCACGGTTTGCGGCCGAGTTTACACACATATTAGCAATTTTTGCCGACATTACATGACGTCGCACAAACTCGATGTCAAAATGTTCTCGTGTCCGGTGTGCTGCAAGGATTTCACGCGCAAGGATAATATGTTGGCACACCTGAAAATCATACACAAGCAGAACATGAGCTAGTGCCTTTGCAAGTGCCTTAATTATTATCGGCAATAATTTTCGTTATTTTTATACTAGCGTTTCTAGAGAGTCCAAATATTTTTATAATGATATATATGTGTGATTAATTGGGTTTATGGGGGTACAATTCGGCGACAAAACGACTGATTGTGGAATTTTTGCGTTAAAAAATTTGACATCGAATTGCGAAGACTTTGATCTCAAATCGTTACTTACATTTCGCTGAAATTTTACCCCACATAAAAATGATTATACCAATGTTATAAATATATTTAGTTTAGATATTGTTAGACTACTAAGTTGGCAATAAATCTTCCAAGTGAATCCTAAATTAGTCTTGCCCTAACTGTTAATGCATTTTTAAAAAGCAAAGTACTGAAGGAATCCAAGGTAAAGTGGCAATATTTGTTTTTATGAATATTCGTAGCAAAATTTTGTTTTTATACTTGATTTTTAGTGTAGATAATTTATTTTGCACTTTATTGTTTAGTTACCTTTTTGTATGAGTAATGTAGATACCCATTTAGTTCAGTTGGTTTCTTTTCAATAAACATTTTATTCATTATTTTGTTTTTTTCTGTTTATTTTACATGAAATAATACAAGTGATTCACAAAATTTTGGTAAATTTACGTTTTAGAGGTTGGCACAAAATGAAAATATTTATTAGAAGATATGAAACATAGAAACGATACTTGATTGATGTGTTCAAATCAAATTTGCACCCTCTTGTCTTCTTTCAAATCATGATTCAATAGAAATCATTTATTCTAATTTTTTTTATCAGATATCAATTACCGTTGGTAATTGCGAATAAACGAATTTTCGCTTGTATTAATTCATCAAGTTGGTTTTGTCATTTTGACATTGACGTTTATTTCTGTCAAATCTGTTAAGTTTTTGATATATTGTGGTTTTAGATTCGCCGCAGGCCGGCAAACTGCTGAGCCCCAAGCCGGAGCCGGGCGGCGAGAGCGCGACGCCGGAGCCCCGTTTGAGCGCTAGCGACAGCTTGAACAACAACGCTCCGGCGTCGAGCGGCGCCCCCAACTCGTCGATGTCGGCGCCGACGTCGGGA